TAATCTTTCCTGCTCCAGGCATCCATCTTCCCTTGGGGAAAAAAAAAATAGGGGGAAACACAATAAAAAGATAAAAGACCCTTTTGGCTCCCACTCTGACCTCCTCAGCTAAGCAGTGAGAAAATGGATTGTCCTGCACCTTTCATGTAATCTTTCTGCATTTCTAAAACCCAGCTGCCCACAGGACGCAAGCCCCCGCATTTACATGACAAAGAGCAGAGAGGCTCTTCCAGCTGGGACAGCTTCTCTTTGCTGATTTTAACCATTAGCTCCCAAACCAAGCATATGTCTGTTCTCGGTATTCAGAGAGTTCCTCAGCACAGGGGGGATCCCACAGCCTGCCCCGAACGTGCCCGGAGGAGGTCTCCAGCAAAATGGGCAGGAGAGCAAGCAGGGGATCCTCTCTCCTGTGCTGCGTCTCTCCCATTTACAAAGTTCAATTTCCCAACCCTCTCGTTCTGTGATTCCTTTACGTTCAGTAGGCAAAAAGAGCTCTGTGAATCAGGTGCGTGGAAAGTGCCTATTTCAGTTTTCGTTAGCTATTTGTATTTTTGCTCGTAGGTATCGGAAAGGGTGGCTGCTCTGTGCACGCGCCGGGGCGTACGCTACAGGCACCGGCCACAAAGGCACCCACGGACAGGACAGATCTGGGGCAGCTGAACGCAGGCAGCAGGAGGCTCCCGAGGAGGCTGAAGCGTGGGTGCACACTGCATGGTGCTGCTGCATCTCACAGGCTGCGGGAAGAGAATTTCTCGAGGGTGAGAAGAGTTTTGAGGGACAGAAATCTAGGGCTCATTGTGTGCAGAGTTTGCTCACTGCGGTGTTCAGCCTGGGCAAAAGGCTGAGTCAACATGCCTCGCCCTGCCTAAAGAGGCTCACTGTGGGTTTAGTCAAGTTGATTATAAACAGGTTTTAAGATAAAAGAAGCCAGATAACCTAAGACAGCTATCAACAGGGCAGATTAACAGTAAACCGATATAAAACACAGAGTTTACTGCAACTTTCTTCCATACTGATCTTATGAGCACATTTGAGATACAAAGACATGATTTCATCTCCCATCCCTGCAGCAGAATGAGGAAGTGATTAAGAGCCCTACCTACACGGATCTCTTTCCCCAGCTTGGGGAGATACTGCCCAGCCTCTGAGCAGTTAATCCTGTAGTAGAACTACTGGCTTCGGGGACAGGGGAGCTCTTTGGCAAGGCGAAGGAACTCTGCATTAAGAAAACATGTGATTAGTAAGTATGAATGGACTATTTTGCAAACCACTCCCCTTCTAACCAGGTCAATGGAAAAGACATCTCCAGAGCCAGCTGCCAGCAGGTCCTAGAAATACTCCAGAGCCCAGGGGAACAGACTACCCTGGAAGTGCATAGGCAGAAGTCTGCCCACGAGCCTCCCCACACATCTGATGCTGCAACACAGACGGACTTCAGAGCAGGGAACAAGCAATGCTGCAAGGATGAGAACTGCAGCAAATCGGATTTAAATCTCCACCTAGAGAGGTATGTACAAAGCAGTGCTCAAGGTAAAGAAACGTGTCCTAGAAAGCAGCCAGAGCACAGCACACTAAGCACAAGGCCAGCCAACATCTCCAGCAGCTGGATTTCTATTCAGCTGCATCCACTACCCTCGAAACAGGCTGCTCTAGCTCCTGTCTAGCACTGGTTCTTTGGTTTGGCCATTCAAACAATAACAAAAACATGGCCCTCAGCATGCCAAAGCACAGAGCCAGCCCCTCTCGCTGGGCTGGGTAGGGACCTGTGTTTCTGCTCGGTTTCTCCGCAGGGCTTTCTTTGACTACTTGCTGCAACAGCGATAACGAATGTAATTACCCACTTCCTGCACCCTGTGCCACAGAAGAATTGAACTCTAAGGTACCTCATCCCATTCTGCCTTCACTCCTTCTGAGAATCTTTTTCTGTCACCTCAGCCTTACATCATCAGGTCTGCTAAACCACATTTAATGTTCCCTGCTCTCATTATACTTCTCTTTCAGGCATTAGCCCTTGCTCATCAAGATGAGCTGAGTTGCCAGCAGCTGTTACTCCATCCCTGCTGCTCTCTCCAGTGTCTCTGGGAGCTCGGTAAGGCCACGTTTCAGGATGTTTACAGCAGCAGCAGGGAGAGCTTAAGGCAAGAGAGAAATCCTGCCATGAGTCTGGCTGGAGGATGCGTGGAGAGGTGACTCTCGCTCAGCCAGGGAGGACAGCCCCGAAGTACCTCACAGCTCGTGAGTGTTTTTAGGCAGAAGACAAAAGCAGTCGAGGCAAAGACGACAAGCAGCCGTTTTTCCATCCCGAGTGGGACAGTGGCCTGGGCTTCACTGACACCGGCACGCAGCCAGGCAAGAATTCCGGGTCTGATGCAGGAGCAGAACCAGCCCACGGCCAGGAAGGTCCCAGCACCGATCCCTGTCCCAGTACACCTGCATGGAGAGGGCTACTTACAGACGACTTCTCCACCTATGGTAAGTTCAGCGATTCCAGTTTCTGCAGCATAAGTGCAGAGGAGTGCAGAAGATTTCAAGCACTCCTGGAAAGCAGATGCAGCCAGTACAGACCAGTTCCCAGGGAACAAGAAACACCTCACAGGTCAGGAGGCCAGGAGGGGGGCTGCAAGCCATGCAGACAGGACCAGTGGCTCTCAAAGTGCCTTCAGGTTGATGAAAACAGCATCCCAAGACAGAAAGGGCTGCAGCACATGGGTGAACCCTGCCTGCAGAGTGCAGTGAGCGGGGACAGAAATAAAGCCAACGAGGACAAACCATCAGCACAGACCACAGACGTGTGCCCACCACCACACATCGCTGCCAGCTCAGAAGAGCTCACCATGCCTCACCACGCTCGTCATTACAGGAGCTACATGAGGTTGCTGCAGGAAAAGGCCGCTGCAGAGCGTCTAAGCGACCCGGCTAGCGTGTCAGCAAAACCAAGGAGATGCAATGAAAGCCCAGAGGGCAGAGCAGGGGAAAACGGGAACAGACGGAGGCTGCCATGCGAAAGGAGCAAGTGGTCCTTGAAGAAGCAACACAAGGACTGGCTGCTAAAGGACAGGGCTTTCAGAATCGCAGAAGAACGAAGCAGACTGACCACAGATGAGGACACCCTCAGCGAGCTAAAGACTGGGAAATACTGGAGTAAGGCTCAGAGAAAGCAGCACATGCTCCTAGCCAAGGAAGAGAAACAGAGAAAAGCATTGCAGAGCCAGAGAGAACAGCAGAGCGAAGACAACGCCAGCACTGAGCACAGGAGAAACTTCAGTATTGCGGAGCTGAGTCCGAGGAAGCTGATGAGGAACAGAAGCAAGAAAATCTTGGACAACTGGGTGACCATCCAGGAGCTCCTGACCCACGGGACGAGGTTGCCAGACGGCAGGAGGACATACAGTCCCTTGGTCTCCGTGACAGCTGTGTAGCAACGCTCCTGGCCCTTCCCAGAGGGTTGCCCCAGGCCTCACAAAGGACGGTGCATCTTCCCAAAGCATCTTCTGTCACCGCAGAATGGTTTCCCCACAGCGTTTCCAAACTTCTGCTGGTTATTGTGCCCATTAAAGTCTCCCCATAGAAACAGGGAACTCGGTAGAGCTATAAACTGCGAATTCAAGCCTGATGACGGGCTTGCTTCTCCACGCAGATACAGCTAGATGACCCCAGGGTCCACAAATCGTCCTGATATACTTATTACCAACTTCACTGTACACGAAGATCTGGCTTACTACATTTCAGACTAATTTTTTTATATAGGATTCTCTGCAAATAAGGTATTTACTTCTATATGCATCTCTTTCTATATTAAAGGTTTTTTGTTGTTGTTTTGGTAAAAAGAAAAAAATAATAGTATGTTTCAATCCTTAATATTAGAGTTGTATCATTATTTTCCCCAGAATTGGGTGTGCTATGCATTCCTGTACTTTAGTTCACAGAAACAGAAAAGTAAACAGACTTAGTAAATATAGTTGTTTACTGTAAAATAAGAGACAGAAAGCAGAAAGAGAAGGCACTTAATAGGTCCCTCTGTGGATTCTGCTACCAAGAGGGAAACAATACTCCCTACTGAGTTGCTGCATGTTTTATACTTCCTAATCACCAGGAAAAATGAAAGCTCCACAAGCCCACTGAACTCCTCCCTTCCTCTGCCTTTAAAGAGTTTAGGAATGAGCTCAGCTCTGAGTCATGATTAAAATCACCCAGTTATGTTCCTAAGCAGCAGTGCTCAAATTGAAGGTTCGCTTGTGCTACCCCATGCTCCCTGCTTCGCTATTCTACACTACAAAGGAAACAGGGCAAGCTCCAAGCCATCGCTTGAAGATACTTCAACGGTTTTCCAGGCCGTGGTGGAGGGAGATAAACCTCTCTAGAGGAAGCCAGCAGCTGTGGGCCCCCTCTCGTCCCCACAGCTGCTGAGACCAGACCCCTTGGATCTGACCGAAAGGACACCAGCCAGCCAGCAAACCTGGTTTGTAAGCCCAGCTAGAAGGTCTGCTTACTTCTTTACACCTCTTGCTGGAGAAACACCACCTATCAAAGAGTGATCTCTGTCAGCTCACATCACCAAGGAGTTCTGGGCAAAGCAGAAGAAATTTGAGGAAATAAGACAGGAATTAGGATTGCAAGTTATTAGCTAAATAAAAAAACCCCAAACACCTAGAGGTAAAATAAAGGCCTGTTAGAGGAGCACGGCAAGGTAGTCGGGAGCAAGCAGTGGGCAGTTTCTGTGGCTCAGTGTTCTCTAACCCCTGTCTGGACCATTCCAGCCCATCCTTTCACACAATGTGGAGGCAAACTGCCTTGCCCTGTCTGGAGCTGCTGTCTGCGCCACTCCATTAAGACTCAAGCTCTGGTGCTACAGTCCTGTATCGACTTACCAGACTCCAAACTTTAAGAAAATATTTGGTAGTAAACTGTGCCAGACAGAAAAAAAATTCCAACCATCACCAAGAAATACTACATCAATACTAATAAAGAGACAGAGACAAGGAATTGCATTAAATCTCAGTTCACTTCTCTGCAGCTCTCCTTGCCAAAATCCTCCGCAAGCAGCAGAGCGCCACGGTCACCAGGACAACCCCTAACACTCCACTTCCAACTCCCACCAAGCATTCATAAAACAGTCTTCTTTGCCAAAAGTGCTGCTGCTCTTGCATTTCTTCACGGGTGCTGTTTGCTGTGTTTCCTTCTGCCTCATTGGCGGCTAACTTCTGTTCCCAGGTCAAGAATTTTTGAAAGTTCAGATCCACTAAGTCATTTCGGATCATTCTGACCCCAAAATAGACCCTCTTGATGATTCTCGAAGTCTTCAACACCTGCACGTCGCATTGGTAAGTCCCTGCATCAGACTCCCTGGTAGGGGAAAATCTGATGACACAACTGGGGTTTTTGAAAGGTCTGAACAGCATGTCATTAGTGGTGATCAGGCCTTGGGCAAGTTTCCATGTACAGCTGTAGGCTCTGCTACCAAAGTTGATGACATCTGAGGTCAGGCAGCTGAACCGGAAGGATGAGCCGACGGGGACGGTGAAGTGGAGCAAGCCACAAAGCCAGTCGGCCAGGCAGTCGGACCTGCGCAAGGTACAATTCCTCCTCTCCCCGGCGGGAGTGATCTCACACAACTCCTCCAGCTTGAAGCCGGGCCCACACGTGACGCTGCAGGACGTGGTGTTGACTATGACTTTCACCACAGCTGACTTCAGCTCTGCTGGGATGGTAACCGCTTCGAAGGAAACTACCAGTGGCAGACAGAAAGCACAAGGCAATATCCTGAGGATGAGGCTGTTCCGCAAGGTCTTCATACCAGGGTGATCAACCAGACACGCTGCTTTCTACAGCCATGCAAATTCAGTAGCTTAAAAAACACAAAATCATTCTTTGTAGATCTTCAAACTAAGTATTTCTGAAATCTCACCAGCATTATCTTCAAGACCTAATCCTTCCATTAGGAAAAATCCTCCAACAAGGCAGGCCTGAAGTACAACACTGCTAAAAGAGATGCAACGCATTACTACATTGGTCAGAACGCAAATCGTGAATTCCAGTTCTTGTAACAGGCCAGCAGAATGTTTTAGTCTGCTACACTCCCACCTCCCTTCTCTGTAAGATATTACATACTATTTTAGATGAACTTCCACCGTAAAGAGTACTGTTCCAGTTTAATTTTCCCACCAAACTATCAAACAATAGAAGTCATCACTACTGAAACCTTTAAAATAATGCTGCTGAGCATAAGGAGATCCCAATTCCTCAAGCAGCACAGGTGTCTTACATCCACGTATCCCAAAATCTAAAGCACTCCCCAAATTACCAACATCACGAAAGGAACATTTCATTCTCCAGATCGTCTGATGGCACTGAAATCAAAGGCAATCTGAACAGTATTTCATCACGGATGATATCCGTCTCTACGCAGGGCTCAGTGAAGTCCCTCACATCTCCACGAGCCCGTGTTCCCGGCGGAGCACTGCTGATGTCACAGTCCGGCTGCCTGGGTCAGAATGCGGCCCCAAACCTTCCAAGGGAGAACAAAGAACTCCCCTAAGTCTGAAGCCAAAGCGAGACCTCTGAGACAAGGACTCAGCATAAAAGCATCGTATTAGGCTCTTGACATCCACCACCAGACTCCGAAGGGATTCAACAGCACCGGCCTCACCGCATCACTCAGAGGAGCTGCAAGCCTGAGCCCCGCGCTGTGTCACGTACAGCCACCGACTCCGAAGAGAGATCTGAGCCATAATCTCCACGTTCAACTGATGCATCTGCAAAACAGAAACCACTCGTACGCTGCCACTGCAGCAGCAAAATGCTTGAAGGGAAGACATCCCAGTGTAATTCACTTAGCGCCTGAGCATCTTGAAAGAAATATTTGAAACACCTTGAACATCTTGAAATAGAGTTTTTCATAAAAAATAAAATATCAGAGTTACTTATTTTTGATGGAGTAAATGAACTACGGTCAAAGCAGTTCAATAATCAGTGTCTCCTTACAGCAACTGCAAGATTTGGATTGTCACGTTCCTCAACAGCTCTGCCAGTGAATATCCATATTTCTCTTCCTAACTCTCCCTAATTTATTAAAATGAAGACTTCTGAAGATCTGACATCTGTGTTTTCCACATTCAGTTTCCTCAGAGGTGCTCTCTACACCCAGCACACTTTGTGTTCAGCTCCCCTTCCCCACGTCTGTCTCGGAGCGCCTAGGCTGCGCTCAGGTACACAGGGCTTTTACCAGACTCCAGATTTACTCCTCTCTTGAAAAGCGATCACCAACCAGATGCCACACTAAGAAAACCCAAACACCACCACACCAGCTGTGGTGAAGGCACAGTATGTTTGTGTTTGCAGCAGAGATGTATTGTGGGATTCCTAAACATTTCAGCATATGAACAGTCATGGAAGTATGGAAAAGCCAAGACTTGCCCATTGACTTTAGGAAATAAAACATATCTCTTTATTTACAAACACAAAAACTAACATCACTGCTATATACTACCACCAAGCCAGCATCCAACAAATATTGTACAAAACTACAGATACCAAAAAATAAAATAAAAGATGGAAGGAAATAAACCAAGGACATGTACACTGTACAGAGAAGTTTTAACAGAAATGAAGGCTGGAGTCTGTGGCAACTTATATGCTTTAAAATAATCTAGAGAACCACTGCCTGTGCATCTTTTAAAGCTTGTGGGCTCAGCCACACCACACATGGGTGGATTTGAAACAGCAGTGTTCCAGGAAAGATGCGAGTCATCCTACAAGCAGAAAGAACAAAGAAAACTAATACTGCACGCAGGAGAATGAATTTCATTACATGAAGCAGGCCACTGTACCAAAGCCGGAAATGAAAATAGCGGTTTTCAAAATACCTTCTGATGTAAAATGTCTCCTCTCTTCCCATGGTTATAGCTCATGTAACTACTGCATACCTCTGACTGCCAATTAATAAATCTCTTTATGACTCCTCTTCTTGGTTTTTAATGTCCGCAGGATACTTTGAAAATTTAAACACGTAGTGATAATCTCAATAATTACAGCTGAGGAAAAACTGAACATAATTGCATAGGAACTAAAAAAGTCTATAAAACAAGGGGCATTAGGAATGAAAACTTCCTTTTAACAGGCGGCTGGTCTGGTACAGAGCTGTAGGTATTGGACAGAGAAAGTGTCTCTTCCCATTCCCACAAGGAAAATATGACAACCATCTTTAAGGAATAAAAGGTTAAAGCATGGCTGGGAATGAGCTCTTAGCATTCATCTTTCTTCCATTCTTGATCCAGAAGTGGGGAAAAAAACTCTGAAAAAATTCTGTTTCAGTTCAGAAAAATACTGGTTCTGATTTTTCTCTAACTGCCAGTACCTACCAGCTAAGGAGGAAACCGATTGTTTCTGGTAGGGCACCTCACAGGAAAGAGGCAAAATAAAAACACTTGCAAGGACAGAAAAAACCTGCCAACACAGCTTTTCATACCACAGGCTAGAAGAAAGCATATAAGGCAAGTATTTCATCTAGAGCTACTTTCTCTTGTTCCTTTTCCCATAAGCAGAGTCATCCTTCATGTATAAAATATTCACAATACGAAGACTCATTCTTTGCAGACTTCAGAGGGTGTCTTGATTCTTCACATCAGATCTCTACCCACTTGAGATGAAATCAAACCTGGCACATAATGAGCAGCAGTGTTTCACTAAGCAGTCAGCACAGAAGACATCCCACTGAGCTAACAAAAAAGCTGATAAGGTAACGCAGCCGGCATAGAAGGGCTCGCAACTCACTGAAATGAAAATTAACAGCAAAGAAAGGGAAGTTTGCAGGATACACAGTCATACGGCATCGGGAATAAAAATACACGCTTTGGGTATTCTTCAATCCAGGAACAAAAGAAATATTTAAAAGACAATGGCTGATCAGCTCTGGAGTGGCAGAGTGTTGGGTACCAGCTCACTTTAGAAACAGTGATGTATGTCAACACAAAGGCAGTCCCATCAGTCTCTTTGCAAATCGTGTGACCTGAGAGTCAGCATCTTACACTCTTCGATGAAGAGGCAGTTAAGGAGGAAGGCAGGCCGTTTCCTCTTCCATATTCATTTCTTACAAAAGTCACTCCCTGAATCCATGAACAATCAGTCTGCTGTATTAGTCAGTCCACTCTGACCGAGCATTTCGTCTATTTTCCACATTAGGGTGCCAATATAGGAAAGAATACAGGAAGGTAAAGAAGAGTGTCTTCATAACAATTCTGAGATTGCACCACCTGCTAAAGAGATCAAAGACAGGTGAAAAATAAGTAACCAGACTCAAATAGATGGTACCAGAAACCAGAGACCACCAAATACGGTAGCCTTTCCAGAAAAAAACTGAGAGAGAACAAGAATTTCTGGATAAAGCCATTCTTTTTAGAGTTCTTTAGAATTTCTGTGTTTGTATTTGAGATCATGTGCACAGGCATGGACAAGGTGGCTAAAGAACTCTTGAGCTTTTACTCCACAAAGCTGCAAGCAAACTTACCTGGTGTAAAAATCTTTGATTCACCACTCCCAACATCTCAGAGCAAAAGCACAACTTTAGCTCCATGTAAGCTTGGGTTAAACCAGATTCCATGCTAAAACTACAGAATGGCTCAAGCTTCTCAGTTTGTTTACACTGAATCCCCATTTCGACCCAGCAGCTTTAAGAATAAGGCACTGCCTGCCAGCCTGCACAGCCCACTGACACAGACGCCCTTGCAGCAGGCTCCGAGTCCCGAATAAGGCACTGCCTGCCAGCCTGCACAGCGCACTGACACAGACGCACTTGCAGCAGGCTCCGAGTCCCAGCCCTGCAGTCTGCACAATGACACGGTGTTATGGCTTGTCACAAACATCTTCCAAAGGAGAAATGCTTGTTGCGTGACTGTTTCAGTGGATGATTAGTTACTTCAGCAAGGAACAGCACAAGGAACTAGCAGAATTAACAGCTTCATGGACGAGAGACAGAAAGCGCAGTCTGGCTCCAGGCTCCCAGGCAGGTGGCCATTTGAATTTGGAAGTGTGTATTTGCACGTGGTGGAACACCAGCAACCCCAAGAAACAAAACGGCTGCTCAAAACAGGAATTGTAAGCACAAGTCGTAAAGAGAACAAAAGGCAGACAGACAGGAACTTCACAGACTAACAGACTCCTGTGCGTTTGGAAAGAGCCAAGCGACAGTTTCTTCCAGTGGACAATCTGTTCTTCCCATAACACGACTCACATAGGCGCTTCCAACACCGACTACTGAGATCTACTGCACGGATCTGTTGGATCCTCTTAAGCCAACAGTACCATAGAAGGAAGCACAGTAACAGGTCCTAGTAAGAGACAGCAGGCCATCACAGCAATGTTAATTATTTGCCTATAGCTCAATCCAGCCAAAGAACACCACCATGGAAAAGTACCTTCAAGTGCTTACAGGCGAAAAAGATGAAAAGTAAATTTTAGAAAACTCTATCACCTCCAACAGATGGGTAAAGCAAGTGGGGAACTTGGGTCTAAACCCAGTTGTTCATAGGAAAAGAAAATTTCCATTTTACAATGTCCAAAACCCAAAGCTAACTGTAGTGGGACAGGTATGCACATCCCAAGCTCAACAGCAGCAGCAGCCAGTAAAATTCCACTGTTGTCTTTCATAGCAAGTCAGACTATATCACAACTGCATTCGAAGCATCACAAGCAAAACCACAAACATCCTCCCAAATATGGCCTTGCAAGTATGTGTAAAAAAACAAGACAGGAGTCTGTCTAGAATGTTGCTTCATTTGAAATGTTTGAGAGAAAATGG